ATAACTGTTTCCCATGCTAGTAAAGCTTCCATGTCCCTCCCATAGCATGCATTCTCTCAAAGGCAGTACTAGCATTTATAGTCTGTACAAAATCATGCATAATCCTTTCCCATAAGATCTAGAAAGTCTTGCTTTTATTCTCTTTTAAATTAAAGTTGTTCTTTATAATGCATTGAGGGGTTTTGTTGGCTATGTATTGGGAATTCAAATCTATATTTCAGGATTTGCATTGAAAATATTAGTGTTGATACTGCTAAAGTTAAGATTTGAGTATGAGGAAAAAATGAAAATTACATCCATGATGTCAGAAGTTACAGAATCATAGCAAAATAGAAATGGATGGGACTGAAAGAAGTAATCTAGGTCATCCTTCTGCTGCAGGGTAAGACTGTTTTCATAGTTGACAAGTGTTTTTGTCTAGCCTGTCCTTCAATACATCGAATAATGGAGATTGAACAGCCCTTTCTGTCATTCACTCCTGTGATGTTCTGCACCAACACCAAGCTTTGCTACCTCTTATTCCTCTCCACTGAGTGTGGAAAAACAAATTTGGTTCTTTACACACGACCAAATCCCTCTGTACTTTGTGGTTTCTCACTCTTGACTCCTGGTTTGCTGGTGACTCTCTCCCTACACCCAAGCACACAAAACTTTTTATTTTTTTCCCCTCAAGAATGGCCTTAGTCATCTTGTTGTTAACCTGCATTTATGTAGTGAGTTACGTGTGTGTAAATAGAGACCATCCTTTCATGTTTTTTATTTTGACAGTTGTACCTAGGTTTGAGACCCAGAAAAGACTGTTACTGCTCTAGGCAGCATATGAACTTCAGAAATGGTGGCTATTTCCAGGGGACTTTAGATCTAGGAGTTCATTTCTGATTAAAAAACCAAACTCACAAAACAACACCAACTCCTTCAAACCCAACATCTTTTTAACAGATTATGTAAAAATAGGTAGATAGGGCATTAAGATGAAATTAATCTTAGTCCTCAATGCAAAAATAAGCATTTTTATTTTGTAGTTCAATGTACTGAATAGTGCAAAGAGCAGTAAAGTGAAGCTGTAGCAAGCTTTGGCATAGTGTAGCAACCAAAACTAATCAGGTTCTTGGGTGCAGTAGACCATGCTCTTTTGGTAATCAGTGCTTAAGTCTCAGCTGTGGTGAAGTGGCTTTGCTTGCAGCCAGTTAAACCTTAGAAATGGTGAGGAAAGCCAATGTAGCAGCTGTGGCCACAGTCCCCAGTTTAGGAAGGTGACTGCAAAGTCCAGGCAGAGTTTGTGGGACAGGGATGCATGCCAAAGTCATGGGGCAGGTGACTGGCACAGATGGTTTTCATATCGGATGATGGGAGTGCAGTTAGCAGGGGCAGCATCTTCATCCTGTATTATTTTGTCCTTGTACAGTAGTAGCTAGAGAGAGTACTGTTTGCTGAGTCGACCTTGTTGACTGTGAATAATGCGAGAGTTTCTAAATACAGGTCTGATGTGCTGCTTTGGTAGTGAATATGTCAAACTTAGGGTCTGAGAACTAGTGCAAAACCTTCCTATTGGTACAATCTTATCAAGACCAACTTCATAAGTTAAGAACGAATGGGGTTGGGTTGTTTTGTTTGTTTGTTTTTAGTCATCCATTTGGTTATCAAATGTTCCTTGGAATGGACTCACAAATCTATATTGGAATAAGATGGTATAAGGAAAAGGTAATAAACTGTTAAAGGTGAGCACTTAATCTATGAACCTGTGTCTGCTTTAGAGGTCTGTGAGTAAATAACATCACTAAAGTAACTGCTGGTATAAAGGTGTGCATTGACAAGGTGGCAAGCTTAGTACAGGGTCTTGTTCTGGTTCCTTGTAGTTGTGCAAATCTAGTCAAATTTCACCTATGTACATCTGAGTAGTTTAAAGAGAGTTAGTGGGAGGATGTTCTCTGTAGCAAAGGTTAGCTAAATTAGTGTATTAAACTATGAGGGGTTTTGTGTAAGCGAATCAAATCAATTTTGTAACTACTTGCCTTGGATGTTCATAACAAGCTAGAAAATTTAGCACTAAAATTTCAAATTTAAGTGGATGGATGTTGATATATCTGCTGTATCCACCATATTAATACTGTTCATTACTGACAAACAAATTGATCAGGGAGTCATTTGAATCCAGAATATTTATTAGTTTATTAGTAGAGACTCTGATATTAGGTAAGTTTTACAAAATCTAGCTAGTATTTATTCTTAAAATAACTCCTAAGATGTTTGTTAAAACAGTTCAGTCCCAATTACGCACCAGCTCTCTTGAGGAAAGTTAATGATTCCAGTGAAAACAAAGGAAGAAAACAGTATTACAGATTGTCTTCTCTAGTATAAAGCAGTCTTTAAAGGATTATTCTCTCTGCTTGTGTTTACATAGTAATAAAGATTTTTAACTTCAGGTTATTATTCATTTCCTGGCAAATGTCAGGTACCGCATTTGCTGATTTTTCTGTTTCAATAATACAGTCATTCTGAGTGAACATGAAGTGAACAAGGAAAGCTGAAAATGGAATTGAAGAGTTTAATTATCGCATGATAGATCACACTCACATTGCTCTGAAAGTGTTGCAACCAGCATGTAACAACTGAGCTTCTTTTCTGTTAATCCTTTGTCTTTGAAAGGCTCCCATTTTCCAAAAAAATAAAAGGTATGGGGAGGAAAAGGGGGAGTGGAGAGAGAGAAACCTGGGGCACATCATTTCCCAGTGCTGTTTGCAAGCCTGTGATTGTTGCTACACATCATCAGGCTTTCTGTTCTGTATAGGGAGCTCATTCTACCTGTTGGCAAATGTCTGAGCTGTAGCATGTCTCCTTGGCCTTTTTGCTACTCTCTAATTAAGTGGGACAGAAAATAGATGGCTTTTCATGGACCCCCAGCACTGTAATGTGGGCTTACAGCTCTAACCCCTTTAGCAGGGCCCCAGGACAGCTGGTGGGAGAGCTGTGCTGGGAAGAAACCTATCCAGCAGGCTTAGTGTGAGCTGCCCATTTACCCAGCATATGCAGACCTTTGTGCTTTTATTGACATGTAAGTACTTTAAATGGACATTATTTCATCTGCAGGTTCTTCAATCTACTGTGATTGTTTGTCTTCTGATTGTTGGATCAGTTACTCCTTGTGTGCCAGATGCCTGGTGCTGCCTCTGGTCTGTGGTGGGAGCAGTGTGACTTTTCAGATCAGGTTTCCAGAGGATCACAGGAATAAATTCAGAATTTGTCTCTGCAGATAATTTCCAATGTCTGCTTGCAATTTGCTGTTTCCACAGAAATTTTTGGCAGTGTACATGTTTGCTTGGATTCTCACAATTGTTTTGGTAAGCATATTCTTTCCCTAGACAGGCCTCTCTTGGCAAATATTTCAAATTCCTGTCTTTCTACATTTTAGCTTTTTTCAGGATTTTTTAGCTGCAGCTTTGTTATTTCTAAGGGTGGCTCTGTTTGACAGTACATGAAGCAGAATTCCTCGGATTTACACAGAATTCCTCCTTTTCCTTCAGGATATAGAAGAGTTTGTGGCTAATGGTAATGAGAGAATGAGTCAAAAAAAAAAAAGCCACAACCAAGAAAGCAAAAGTCAGACTGGTTTAAACTACATGGGGAAACTAAATTTTTGAAGGAACTGAAATTCAAAACTTTCAAAATTATTTTGTTGCAGATAAAATCTGAGTTACAAAATAAAAAATTAAGCTTCTTTCAGTAGAGAGGTTTTGTAGTATTAAATTTTGGTAACATTGAAACTTTCATATGCCACATGAATGTCCACAATTAATTTTTATCTCTTTAGTCTTTGGACCCTGGAGCCCCATCTACTCCCCAGTCATCTGCAAGGGGCTAGTTACCACCAGAAGCTTTGTTAGTTCAGTATCCATCCAGGGTATGGATAAACTGGGTAAGTCAGGACCACAGCTACCACCAGCTGAGCTTCCATCTATGTAATTTCTATGTGAAATGTCAGTGTAAAACTGTTTCGTCCTAAAAGTTAAAATCATCTAGAGTTTGGTGCAGAAGTTGTAATGAAGTAGATGAGTAATAGGGCTAATATACTGTAAGGAATAGAGCTAAGTAAAGGAACCAGGCAAATAGAGGCTGATAGAGGTACCTGGAGAGGTGGGGCCAAGAGGCACAAAATGGATGGGAAGTGAGCGAGGGTAACTAATGTTCAGACGATAAGGCATAAAGAGGCAGTGACAGGCATGGAAGCAGGAAATGTGATCACTTTCCTATAATCAGGAGCTTATGTATCCATTGATTTTAGGCAAAGAATGGGGCTGAAAACAAAATCCAGTATATTGATGTAGCTTTTGGCAAAAGCAAAGGTAGATAAAATAATTTGATTTTTGTTGCAATATAAACATGGTCTGATTCTGAATTTTAGTTTCTAGTCTTGCCTACACCACCTTGAAATTGCTCATATGAGGATAAAGAAAAGGGGAGAAATGAACAGGGAAGGAAAGGTTATCTGTTTTGTTAAAAGTACTACTATTACAATTTATTTCACTGAAAAACTTGGAGGGAACTGAAAACCAAGTTTTACCATAAAGGAGTAGATTAAATGAAGACTAGCCACAAGTTTTAGCTGCTTTTTTTCTTTTCTGTGTAAAATGATGGCTAATATTTGTGATGGAGTATAATTGGGAGGCTTTTAAAAATAGTTTAAATGTTATTATCTTTTATATATAAAATAGTGGCAACTATAGAAGTGTTTTCCTAGTTCTTCTACTGGTTTAATTGTGCAGCTTTGAGCAAATCAGTGAAATCTTTAATGCCTCAGTTTCCCCTTCTTGATATACTGTAAAATTAATCCCTTAGAGTGCCATGTAGTTTAATTCAGTACTTTTTTCAAGTCGTGCTTCTTCAGGCAGAAATACAATCTGTTGTTTTAATTGATGTATCTTAGCTTTCCTTCAAAACTTTCTGCCCAAAACCTGTTTTATTTTTCTTAAGTGTTTGAATTAAGAGCAACTTGTTGTGCCTTTGATTCTTAAGTGTGCAGTGTGCAAAGAGTAGTAATCTCTTTTATGTGTTTGCTGAAGCACGCTGATTTGTTTCCACTTGTTCCTAGCTGGCTGGTGTTAGGACCCAGAAAAGAGACAGCAGCAACGTGATATAAATAGAGTACCAGAATGGGACAAAGTTTGAGGAGAAAGTATGACATCACTCGGACTTTCTCTCCACCCAAAAAGATCTGGGATGGAGGTGCAAATGTGAGCTGGACAATTGAGGAGTTAGCAACTCTTTTCAGTTCAGTTTCAGAGGAATAGTGAGAGTTACATGCTCTATGTGCTACAAGGAAGTACGTTTTCTTGCTTGCAAAACTAAAACTGGCTTCAGATCTCTGACAATATGAAAGTAATTTGAAAGGAAAACGCAACCATAGGAAGAAAGTTGAAAACAAGATCTTTTCTTTTTGGCACAGATTGTAACAGAAATATTTGACTTCTTTCCATGGAACAGTACAACTTTTGGATCTGATGCACATTTCTTTTAATTTTCCTCCAATCACAGTAATTTATTTAGAGTTAAATGAAGAGATCAAAGTGTGAAGCAAATGAACACTACTTAAAGGTTTGGAAGGATATTTTGCTGTCACTGAAGGAATGGACTTTTTGAACCTTCATGGAAAATGCATCTTTTAATACAAGAAGTAGCAAAGGAAAACTTGTGATTGAAATCTTATAGAAATTAGATTTCAGTTTTACCTTTAAACTGAAATAGACCATGGAGAACTTATCATCTCTGCTCTCTTGTCATTATTCTCTGCTGATTTTATTTCAGTACAAATATCAGGTAATGTTCTGAATATGGTCAGTATTGAGCTATATTTGGATCCCTCTTTGGAAGTTTTGCCTCACTGTGTCTCATTATGTTATGTTTTATGTGCAGGTGTACGGAAACTATTCCCAGTTACCCAAACACCCAGGTAAGGAATGTTCTATTTGCATTTTATGACAATGTGCTTAAATGTTTATTTGCTTTTTTGGTTTGTATTTTTTAATTTTCTTAGTAGCTCAAAAAAACTGTGATCCTATATTTAATGTCAACTACATATTAAAAAATGTAATAGTCTGAAGTATCAGACTGTACCTGTCATTTTAAATTCAGTAACTTACCTTCTGAAAATTCTGTGCAGAATGGAGAAGAATGGTTTGCATTTGACAGATAGAAAATACAAACTGTTTGTTTTAGTCCTTTTTTTGAGCATGACTTTTTGAATCGGACCTTTACTCAGCCTCTTTTCTTTTTCCCCTCAATGAGTTCAGCATTTTCAATTCAGTGATTTACAGTTAGATATGCCAGCTTGTGTACTTTGCTGTAGTTTTGCATGGCTTCAAGTTGTCTCCCCTCCTCCTAGTCTTCATGCCTCAGTTTAAATTGCTTATAGACCATATTAAGGATCTCTCAGATGTTTTCAGTGTAGAAAAAACTTTCTTAAAGCTTACTTGGGGTCTGTGTGTAACTGCAGAATTCTTCTGGTTTTATATAAATAGTTTAACCTCAAGCCTCATGGTGGTGTACAAGTACAATTTTACTGCTTTAGCAGTGCATGTATTGCTTTGTGCTTTAAGTTTTAACCATATGTAATTATTTTCAAACAAAATACAGTGCGATGTGGCAAAGCCATGTTGTCTGCTATTGCAGTAGATTCACCCCCATTAGTTGCTTTTGTTCTGCCTTCACTAGAAAGCAAAGAAGTATAGTCTCATTTTCTATAGATGAGGATCACTGGCTTCTAGCTGAGGAAATGGGGTGGTGGTGGGGGGAGCTTCCCACATTAAAGGTGTATGTTACACAACACCTATTTTGTAATATAGTGTGTGTATGAGTAATGCTTTCTGAATTGGAGCTGGACTTGTAAAGAGGTCCTGTGATTGTCCTAAACACAGCGTAGTTACCTATTGAAAGGATATTGCCTTGAATGCAACTAATACTTGGAACAGGTATTTGTTTTTGGAGATCTTCTGAAGGCTGATTGGCTGGTAGTGGGGCAACAGTGTGGCTTTGTGTAGTTTTGAACTGGCAGCTGGGAAAGCCATGGGCATGTGGGTCTAGGCAATTCACTTTGCTGCATGTATGTTTTCCTTCCAATTATTTTTGTGCATTTTTGCAACCTTTTAAATGTAAGCTCCTTAAAATATAACTGCTTCTTAGGAGTTTGATGCCAGCTTTGGCGTTGTTGCTATGCTGCTCTTACTGCTAATAATAAAATTCTTGTGCCACGTTATGACAGAGGTTTTTTGCATCAAATTATTTTCTCCCTGGATTCTTCATTTCTATTTGTCTCAATATTTTTTTCTACCACCTCTCTTAACTTCAATCCTTTTTCTATTTTGATACATAAAGATGTTAGTGGGAGCAAGAGATATTTGTATATAAGCACACTGTGAAACAGCAGGCATGTTCTGTTCTCTGTGGAGTGGAATTAGTAGTTTGATTAAAGTCAGATAGAGGTATGTTAGCACAGGTAGCCTGTGTGGATGCTCTTAATAGCATAGCAATTTATAACTTCCTTTAGCAGCAGTCAGAATATGTTTTTTGAAGATAGAACTTAAGCACGTGTGCAGATGTAGTTTATGTGAATGCAAAAACCCTTGTTCCTAGATCCTGTTTCCTTGACATGCTTTGTCATGCTCAGCTTAGTTGAGTTTGGGTTGCCTGGAACTTCTAGTCTGGGTTTTGTATATGCTTATTCTGTGTCGCTATTTGCTTATGTTGGCAGTACCCTTCTCCTTTTGTTAGCAGTCGTGCCTTTCTCTGTGTCTTCCAAATATTTAAAGGAAAGGTATAGGCATAGAATCTCATCTATTTCTCTGAAGACATCCCCATCTGTGGTAAGACAGCTTCAAACACTTCTAGTCAAGTAGGCCAATAGTAGATCCTGGTCAGTTATGAATCATTTGTTAGATATTGTTTAGGAACAAAAATACCTGGGAACTTCAGTTCCTTGAGTCTGAGAGAGCTGAGTTACCTATGAAGGAGGCAGGAGCAGTGGTACTATGCTATAAAGGCTAAATACTCTCCCATGCTCTCCCTTCTCAGTGCTTTGTGCTATCCATGGTGTGTTTAGAACTTTGAGTAATGTTTTGAAAGTCTTGAATGATTTAACTGTTACTTCAACAAGTGCAATCCGGTACAGTAACAGGGATTTATTCAGAGATTGTTGCACATTTTAAGTGCAGTTAAAATAAAAATCAGTTGAGCTTTAAAACCAAATTTTTTGCAGTGCTCAATCAGATAGTTTTAGTCTACTCTGCCATTTTGATCTGTCATCTTGCTTATGTGCTGTACTTGATTTACATAAAAACCTTGGCTAACTATTGACTTCCCTTATTGCTTTCTTCTGTGGCAATTTAACTGCACTCCTTGTTTGCTCTTACTTTAATAACCTTTTCATCTGTATTTCTTGACAGGGTTCAAAGTTCTCGCATCAGCTTCCCACTACTGGCCATTGGAAGATGTGGATGGAATTCATGAATTTCGGGATACAAATGGAGGTAGATAAAGGATTCGTTGACAGTGGCAATAACATAAGTATTTGTGGCAGTCTGTAAGCAGAAAGGGATCAGAAGAAATGAAAGGGGTTAGGTTTTGTACCACAGCAGTTGAGATTCTTTTTTTTCAGTTGATGTTTTTGCAGTGCTCCAGTGTCCAAATGATAACGTATTTGTGAACTGATTTTACAGAGTATTCTCAGATGTTTTATGAGCTGTCTACGCATTGTTAAGGTTATAGAGAGAAAAGTTTTATGATGCAAAGAGTCATTGAAATCACGTTGTTGTTGGTTGCTTTGGTACATGCTAATACACTCAGTGACTGAGATAGCTGGATATGCTGGCAGTGAAGTGCCTGCTGCTTTTTTGAAGGAGTTAAGTGCCTGAATTCTTCATGCAGTTTGAAAATTCCGTGTACCATCTACAGAAAGAAAAGTGCAAGTTCTTATCTGTATACTGACCCACTTCTGTCTGCTTGTGGGTATTCCCTTAAAAGCAGTATTGCAGCATTAGTACAAAATTTTTTTTTCAGTCGGACAAAATAAAGATAGTTTTGGTAAGACAAAACTTTCAGTGATTTGAAAAAGTCAGTTGTCAGGACCGCAGGATCCCTGAGGGAATGGTATTAAAAAGCAGTTCGGTTGGATTTAGCAGTTTTCTGGTTCTGATGTTTCACATCAGTACCAAAAAGGGTAGTGGAGGTTTTCTGGGGATGTGCAGGTGATGTAATTAATGGAACTTTGACCAAACCAGTGTATCCGATTGCAGCGTTATGGGTTTGCAGGGCCATTCCTTTCAGATGAAGTTTTCGGGTATGCTCTGTCTCCTTTTGAGACTCAAAGGTCCCTTAGTATTATTCATGTGGAGTTCTTATTCTCTTCTGACATTTTAGCCAGTTCCAAGTTTGGTTGATGTATGTTCCCCGGTATTTTCTACACTATGGCTACCACCTTGGCAGTAGAGCTACACAGTTTTGTACTTGTGCGAGGGGTAGGCACTGTACTACTACTGGTGACTGCAATATCTTTACTCAGAAAGATGCAGAAGATTAAATCTGGAGTTAGAGACCTTTACAACCTTACATGAAAGATGTTAACAAAATTGAGAAGTTACTGCTATTTATCATGCAAAAATTGCGCTATCAGTCTCGGTTCCTAAGTAGGGAAAAAGATCCATGTATTGTAAGCTTAGACTTTGACCCATCTTGCCACAAAACTTCTTAAAGGAATGAAATTGGCTCGCCAGAAATAAATCTGGGCAATATTCTGCTCCCGTTAGAGGCTGATGGCAGCATTCCTTTTGACTTCAGTAGAATCATAATTTGGCTTACAAAAAGTTACCATGTGAGTTCTCCAACAGTGTGTTAAAGTATTTTTCTGACACTGTAGTTTCGAGAAGAGTAAAGCACTCCATATCTAGCACTGTTTTAGCACTTGTGTTACGGCAAGGTTATTTTTGAAAGTGCCTGAAAGAGCGCAATTGCTATAAAATATAGCAATTGCAAATTAATGTTGGATCATTATTCAAGTTATGTTAAATTGCTTCAGCAAAATTCAAATCTTTTCAATAATATTTTGGAAAAGATAGAGCAGAACATAGAAAGTTCTTGATCCTACAAACCTTCACTTACAGGAATTGGACTGGCTAACATGAGCAATCTCCTTTGACTGCTATTATGACATTGTGTTAAATAACTTTACAAAGGAGCCAGCTGCATTACTTTGCTGAAAAAATGTTTGGAGGACTTTGTCTTACTATTGTTGGCAAAGGATGCCAGGAGCAAAAAGTCTCATTCTCTGCAGAGCAACTCTGATAATGTTGAATTTTTCTTTAGTGTACTGGATAGTTCAAATTCTTCAGTTGCTTATATTGTGTCTTATAATACACAGTTATTCCTTCAGCTGCCTCCAGCAGAGTTCTTATGTATCTGTCTGAGATTTGACTTTGATATACCAGTAAAGTTTTCTTTTTATAATTTAATGCAGGTGACAATTTGCTTGTTTTTGATACCATTCTGATTACACAACCCTTCTGTTTATTGCTAGAGCCTGCCTTGTTTTTCCACTCATCACATCATGCAGTTATTTTCATTCCATGTTTCTCCTCTTAAATCCTTGAAGCATCATAATCTGTCCGTCATGTTAATCCATTTTATTTGTTGAAGTCATTGTGTGTGAAGCCAGATTTATATCTCTCAAAGCATTTGTGTTGTGAGAGTGTCAGTGAATTAATTTTATCATCTCAGCAGTAGAAGCAATTGAAGGGAAACAATCAACTTAAAATATAGCAAACAAAAAAAGATGTGGCCGTGTTCAGGTTTCTCATCTGACCCCTTGTTTTCCACGTGTTTTTATCTGGAGGTTTTAGCATGTTTGTTTTTGTTTGGTTGTTTGTGGTTTTTTTTTCCCTTTAAGAGCATTTGCCTTTCCCTTCTATAAGCTCAGTTGGCTTAAATTCCAAATCAATGTCTATTTACTTACATGGGCCTTCCCTCAAGCTCTGTTTGCCTGCCCTGGGTAAATAATTACAGTGGGCAACGTTAAATTATCAAAATTAAAAAAAAAGAATAAAGTTTTATTGTCAGATATAAAACAGTTGGGTTTTTTCCATATGTTTAGATGGACTTTCTCATATTTTAATTTATGCCCATTGCCTCTTATTTTTTCACTGTATATAACTAAGGAGAGTCTGGCACTATCTTTAGTGTCACTGTGTGTTTATACACATTGATAAGATCCCTGAGCTCTCTTATGTCCAGGCTGAGCAGTGCTAGCATTCTCAGCCTTTCACTGTATTTGCTTCAGTAAGTGCATGTCTCTCTTGTACTGGGGAGTCCAGACTTTAAATTGCCCATAGCTTTTGCACCAGTATAATGATTTTTGGTATAATTGCAGAGCTCCTTACCAACATGGTCATATTTGAGAGCTCTTCATCAGCAGTTGCACTTCTTATTAGTTTTCCTTTTCAGTTTACTGTAAGAAAAAAAAATGTTTAACTGATACTGCATTTATTTACCTTGTGTAGTTAAAGAATGTAACATTCACAAGTATACAAGTCCTTAGAAGTGGTTGCATGATAATTTTAAAGGCCACTGATCAACATCTATATGTTGAGAGATATGAACTGGTCAATTCATTACTGATTGTGTTTATTCATTGTTTTGCTTATTTGCTTATTTTCTTTTGTTGTTCCACCCAGCTCTAAGAATCCACAACTTCACTGTGCTTCCTTCCCATAACTCTACCTTTGTATATACCAATGACTCTGCCTACTCTAACTTCTCTGCAACTGTAGGTGAGGATTTAAGTATTTTTTGTTCTGCATTTGTCAAGGTTGGATGGTTCTTGTAACATTGGATTCTAAGTTAACGTTGAGTTTTGATTCATGTGGTCATGTGGTAAAGGTCTGTTTATGCTAACATTGTCATCTGTTATTGAAAAAACACTCCTGCAATGTTACCTGAAGTACCCTAAACTCCTGGGAGAGAGATCATCATGCTAAGCAGTAGCCCATGGGAGAATGGGCCCCAGTGGTCCTCTGAAACTAATATTCGTATTACACTTAAAATAAACTGAGATAACATTTCAGAGGAACATAAAGAGCAGGTCTGATTTTCTTACTGCTTGCCTTTCAAGGTTAAAAGGAAAAAGAAGCCATTTGCTTTTCGCTATTTCTTAGTAGTTTTTAAAGGACACATTAAGACAAAACCAAGCAAATCTGCAAAGCCAGGAAGTAAAATTTTGTCAATCATGGCATCTTTGATTAACATGATCAGTTTTTTTTTGTTTTTTTTTTTTTTTTAAGGCAAGAAGCAATCTGGGTAGATATGTCCTTTTAATATTTTTCCTTTTTTTTACATCAAAACACCAGGAGATAAAAGTAAAACAGAAAATGACAACTCTCCAGGCAGAAAACTGATGATTGGAAATCAGCTACACAAGCATAAACTTAGTAATTTAATTTAAGTCACTAGCATTCATACTTGTGTAGGAGCAAGTGTCCACGTTACAGTCGTGTTTTAACTCACATGTTCTTTACTTCTTGGAAAATCTGACCTAAGAAGAAGGATGGAAATGATAACACAGTCATTAGGACTGCTCAGATTCTTGGAGGGTTGTATTTGAATGCTAAACCCACTATTTTTCTACCTTCTAACGGTGAAAGTGTTCTAGCAAATGTGAACTCTATTAATAATGAACTTCAAATGACCCTAATTCCATTCACTGCTTTCTTATCTCCTGTATAGGCCATTTGCATAGTTCATGCATAATAAGATATATTCAGTATAACATTAAAAGGAGTGACATCAATGGCAAGGGAAATACTATGGAAACAGACGTGCATTATCTTAGGAGTAAATCTGGCTAGATGAACTTAGAGTTCAAGTGACTAAAGAAATGTTTGCTTCATTTTCTAATACACAGTCAAATTTTTAAAAGAAACTAAATTTTATTTCTCACTTAGAGGCAAAACTTGTTGACTTCTTCCTCGAAGTGGGGAAGATATGAAATGAGACTTATCTGTATGGTTCTTGAAAAAAAACATAACCCTAGAAACTCCCGAGAAATAAACCCCACCAAACTTGAGTACAAAACAGAAAAAAAATAGTCAAGCAACAACAACAAAACCCAAAACAAAACAAACAAACAAACAAAAACAAACAAAAAAAAAAAACAAAAACCCACAAAAAAAAAAAAATCCCCCAGCAAAAGTAAACCTACAGTTGGGACTGAATAAACATACGAGGTATACAAATGTAATAGAATTGTGTTTCTGGGAAGTTTTGATTTATATAAATATTAAACTAGATTTTTCTTTTCCTTTAGATATTGTAGAAGGAATGGTGAACAAAGGAATTTACGTCACTGAAAAGAAGGGAGTTACCTTTCTCTTCTTTGGAAGCTATCAAAATTCTTGCATTAGTAATCCAGAAGTTTGTGGACCTGAAGGTTAGTAAATTCATTAATTGCTATTAACATTTCCTTTGCTGTCAAGTTACGTAATTCAATGACTATTGTTTCCTTCCTCATTGGAATGAACTCTAAATTACTAGCTTGACGCATTCCTGTATTGAATTTTAAAACAGTTGATTGTTGCTGAAAATATAGTCTTTCCTAACTGCAATTTAAATTGGAATTGATCACCAGCTACTCAATGATTTACAGTGCAATTAAATCAAACAAAAACTGAAATAAGCTTTCCGTGCCCAAAAATTTTGCCTGTGGCGCCAACTTTGATCATACAAGAACTGCAGTTTGACAAACAATAGAAGTTGTCCTGCAGGTTTCAAATTTAGTTTTAAGAGACAGTTTTTCAGTGTGGCCTCTTAACAGGAATGTGGTTTTTTGGCTTGGGTTTTTTTTAGATTTATCTTTGGAAATAACAAAATTAGTTTTTTTTCTCTTCCCTTTCCTCTTCTTGGGCTATGTTCACAAAATAGCAGGTAGAATGGGGACACAGGTTTGAAAATGTGCTGATTACAGGAGGTCATTAAAACTATTCGACTGTCAAACCAAACATGCAACTAGTCACTAGCATAGAACATTCACTGGAGACTTGAAGTACAGTAGAAACAGATCAGTGCAAAACTGTGGCTTTCCATATGTAAACTCCTGCAGCCCTTAAGCTTGAGAAGTATGGTTAACATTGATTTTTCTGGCTTTTATTGGTTTGGACCATTCTTCAGACAGGTAACATCACCTGAAATAGGATTTTTTATTTAGTTGTTTTTTTTTTTTAGCTGCTAAAGCAAGAGCCATGTATGAACCTTTTTAGAAATTAGGCCACACTCAGACCAGATGGTACACGGCTGTTACCTGAGAGTATTAGGAAAGAGTAATTCCATGTCCTACCATCGGTATTTTTCTTATACATGCTGTAGCTTTTCATACCCTTTTTTTCATACCACTTGGAAATACAAATAATCAGTAAGTCATATTATTTCTACATCTATAGTATAATGTAATGATAACAATAAATCATTTTTATAGTGCCAGAGCATTCCCAGTATCTCTCTAACAAGAACATTAAACCCATAAAACACTGAAATGTTCCTCAGATAAAATGTGAAATCATATAAACAATAAACACTAAATCACAGTAGTAGTATAAAAAAAAAGGGGGGGGGGTCGTGGGCTAAGCCAACATCCCTTTATCTAAACAATGTGTCTTTGTTTTTCTCCAAATCAAATAAAACCTGCAGCAATGATAAGATATAATTTTATTCAAGCCTCCTATTGCTTAAACATCCTTTGATGTTTGCTTGTGACATTTGTGTGAAACTGGTGTTAAGTACACTTAACCAGGGAATGCTTTCTGAAATAATCTCGGGATATTTTCAGATGAAATATTACAAGCTGTGAAACAAAAATCACATTATTTTTTTCCTAGGCTAAATTTCATGACATTTCAGAACTCTTTATTTTGAATTGAGAAAACAAATTCTTCTTGTTTTTTAAAACATTGAAATATTCTTCCCCTGCCTTCCTCCTTTCATTAGTAATTTTTAAACAATGGTTTTCTGTAGAGCAGTTTTGGCCTCATTGAAGTGGCATTTTCAGTCAAAAGAAGTATTTTTGAAAGATGCAAGAGAACGTTCTCTTAATAGTCACTTTGAACACAGGAGGAGCTGAATTTGGTCAATATGTGGAAAGTTAAAGAAAAATTAAAAAAGCGGTCATATGCACAACATAGCACTTCATAACTGTGTGTTTGTGGTGTGCCTTTAAGTTTTATTTTGGGAAACCATCTCTACTGCATACATGCTTTATTACTTAGTATCTCTGCCTACATCATTTAAACTTCATCTCCCAGCCTGTAAGGGAGGAATACCAGCACTTCGGTATCTCTCAAGTGTGATGAAATGCTGGAAAAAATTTGAGACTTTGGCAGAGGAATCTCAGTAATAGCAGTAATAGATTAACGTGGTCACTTTTGGTGACCTTTTGAGGTGGTGAAAGATGATGGTCCGTTTCAGCCTGTTACTTGTGTGGTAAAGAGACTGAAGTATGAACTCAGGCTCATCTGCTGATGAAGATACTGCAACTTGCTTACAACAAGCCTCAAATTCTTCAGTTGGGAGTTCACAGCATTTAAAGCTTTAAGCCCATATCCATCAGGATCTAGCAAACTGAGACTGATGATGTTCATATACTGATTGATTTCTAGGAGGCCAATGATAATTGATTAGCATTTCCACAGTGCTTATTTTATCATGTTTAAAGTGTTTAGGGAATAGTATGTATATCTTGTAAATCGATGGATGCTGCCACGAGGATAAACAGAACAATTAGACAGGAAGATACTACAGTTATTTATTCTGCGGTAATATAATTTTAAACTTTTCTGCTAAGAAATGTGAAATAAAAAAGAATTTACATTCCAGATAGTAGTGGGGAAAAAATTTCTAATGACTATAGTGAGCTGTTTAAGGCCTTTGCATCTTTAATCACATAATTGTGAAACACAAACTAACCAAAAAGTTATTTTAACAGTAAGTGTACATAATAGCTTGAGGGCTTCATTACCTTGTGCTGAGCTATCTGGTAGCAAATTGGTGAAGTTCATACTGCTTAGGGGGCCTGCAGAGGTGCTCACTATAAAATCATCCAGACAAATACTTTGACTACAGATCCAAAGAGCATAGTCAGCAGGTTAAGGGAGATGATTATTTCCCTCTGTTCAGCGCTCATGAGATCATATCTGAAGTACTGTCTCCCATTTTTGACCCTTGATACAGAAGAGATGCTGACAAGCCGCAGTCCAGCTGATGACAGGGTGCTGGATAGGATGACATGGGAGCAGAGGCTGAAGCTTTTTCTTACTCCATGAAAAAAAGGGAATGCTAAGGGCTGTCTTCAACTATGTGGCTATAGAAGCAGATGAAGCTAAACAATCTTGGAGATGCACAATGAAAACATGACAGGCAACAATATAGGCACATTGTACCACAGGAAATGCTGATTAGATCTAAGGAAGTATGTTTCCTTGCAACATTTGTGGCCAAGAATTGGGGTAGTTTGCACAGCAAGGCTATGCAGTCTGTGTGTGGAGTGACATTAAAAATCACAGCTGAGCTCTAAGCAGCCAGATCTAGCTCTGAAATTGGCCCTGCTTTGAGCAGGCAGTTTAGACTAGGTGATTTTCAGAGTTGTTGCCAACTTAATTCACTATGTTTCTTTGTGGTAAACCTCTTCCACTTCTTTACTTCATAAAATTTTTCTCAACCTGCTCTGAACTCGGATTTTATTGTTAGCACTTTGTACTATGAATGATGAACCCTTTCAGAGCTGTTTAGTTGAGCCATTTTCTTTCTAATTGTATTTGACTGAAGAAGCTCTACTGCAGAGCTATTGCGAACTTGTGCAATGCAAAGGAGGTTTAATTTGCTACATGGATTTCAGTCAAGCCTTTAGAGGTAGCCTTTATTGAAGAAACAAGCCATCTTACAGAAATAATATTTTTTTACTAATGTGCAATCTGAAGAGCTCTTAAATTTTATGGTACAATACTAGAATTGACTGTTAATTGAACAGGTTTATTTGTGGTGAAAGTTAATCATGCACTTGCAGGATTGCCCTTGAGTTTTGGGAAGAATTCTGTGATTTTTTTTGGTGGGGACCTCAGAATTTCATCTGTGGCTCTGCAGATGTTTCTGTCCCTTTCTTTTATATTGGATCTTTGCTTTCAGCAGTTATTGGAGCATTGAAGTGTGAACACACAGGTAGTAATGTGCCTAGAAGAATTAAAGTGTAATTAGCAAAGGTTGCCACTGAATAAGCATAGGCATGCTCGCAGCCAGTTAGCCCATCAGTAGCTTGAAAGCAGTCAGTGTACTATTTCTGGCTCTTTTGGCATTTGGTGAACGTGAAAAAAAGATGCAGATGCTAGTGGAGGATATGGAGGTATGAGAGCAACTTGTGTTTTGAAATACGTAAAGATCACAGGAGGAAAAGGGCATCGTCGCAGCAGGGTGAGAAAAGTAAGGAGACTGGAGAGATAGGGCCAAAGGAATGGAAGCATAAATATGTAAAAAAGAAACCTAAACCAACCAAACAAAACTTCATTACTTTAGGTGCTCAAAGAGCTGTAGTTTTAACTGATAGAAGCTACTCGGAAAGCAGTGATGTCCTCATGTGGTGCAAAACTGAGGAAGAGATGTTTATGCAGTTTGAGCTGTTATAGCATTGTTGATTTTAAAAATGCTGTCCTTGTTTATGCTAGCAGATCATCTGTCCTCCAAAGCATTCCCACTCCCTCTATCCTACAGAACTGGAAAACTTTAATTGCATTTGTTTTCTTCATTAACATCTCTTGCTTCCTTTCATTAGGAGTAACATTTTCCTTCTTCTGGAAGACTCAAGACCAACAGGCTAAGTTTCTCCCTGCCTCTGGTGGACAAGTAATTTCCAGTGGTTTCAAAATCTGTTCAAATGAAGCTGAAGGCTCAGTGGAATTTTACACCCGTGGAAATGCTATGATGAAGTGGAAAGCAAGCTTTAGTCCACCAGGTAAAATTTATTGTATTTTTTTAATTATTAGTTGTTTTATTTGACTTTATTCTTGCACAGAGGTGTAATGGGTAAGAGCACAACTTCAGGAAAGTGAATATATAAAAGTAGCTGTAGAGCTCTGCTTAGAAGTTCCCTTGATGTGGGCAGAGAGAAAAAGGTTGATCTGAAAAAACAGTGATACTGTATTATAGAACATTTGCAATTCAGTAACAGTCCCCAGACCCAACTTCAGTTGTTTTGTGAAGTGGAATTGTTATCGACATCAAAAGATCGACTGGTTGGATGGAAACTTGTGTGAAGAATTCAAGTCAATCCCTGACAGTTCTTGGTATATTCTAAAAATGGATACATATGCTGTCCTGTACTGCCTCCTCAATTAAGGCTTTTTTTTGGTAACTGCCTAACTGGGTGTTCAGTGCTTTGGTCATTTTGCCATCTGTGGAGTGTCAAGTTTTTTGTGCCATGGTGTAGTATTAATAGACATTTTGATACATCCCATATCTTCCTGCTTCTGTCCTGTTTATTGTTGAGGAGCAGTAATACCTTGTGACTGGAATAAATTCTGTTCTTCTAGTAATGCCAGTGACAATCACTAAACCTCTTCTTGCCTTAATTTACTACCTGAACATTGTTAAAATAGGACTTTCTCACCTTGTAGTAGCAGAGTTTTTAAAAGCTTGATAAATCAGTGCGGAAATCTTATTTTAAGATAAAAGCAGCTAAATGGTAGAATAATTTATGTATTTGTGGAATATCCGATCCAAGCAAAATTAACATTATGGTTTTGGCCCTCTAAATATAAGAGAGAAACGCTCACAGTTTTTAATTAATCTATTTTCTTGTTCTCCAGGTTTAGCAGTCTTTATGCTATTCTTGCGGAACTGTGTTTTGAGACAGAATTGAAGGGACTTTAAATCTTGGCCAATAATACTTAGCAAGTATAATTTATGAAACTGCAGTGAGCCCAAGAAAGAGTTCAGAGAAAAGCTAACAGGCATTCTGCCAAAGTATGGGCTTCCCCATGGGTATAAAGATTAATATACATGACATCAGCATTCCATAATTCACTCTTAGCACGTCCTATACAGCTCTATAGCATTGCACAAGTCAGCAAAAACATACTGAACTGGAAAGACTCTAAATGGAATTGATTCATGGGTTTTGCTGTGATTTTTGATGTTTTGCAGGTCCTTACTGGACTCACATTCTTTTTACTTGGAAATCAAGGGACGGACTGAAAGTCTATGTCAATGGAACTCTAAACACAACAGATCCCGATGGGAAAGTTTTCTATGATTATGGAGACCCCACTGCAAATCTACTGACTGGAACAGAGGGGGATCAGACCAAGCGCTATGTGAATGGGGCATTTGATGAATTCATTATATGGGAGAGGGCACTCACCCCCAATGAAATTGAGCAGTACTTCACAGCTGCTGTTGGTGAGTATATATATGCATTGTTGTCATAATTAATATTCTGTAAACATGCTGACTTAAAAATGTTTAGTGTGTAGGGTTTGTGTTCATTTTACATCTTTTTTGCTGTTGAAGCTTTTAGAGGCAGAAGTTGTCAGTTATGAATGTCACCAAAACACTCAGCTGTCTTTGACTGTGCAGTTTTTTCATCCTGGGTTATAGCTCCTTAAAAATGCCATAAAGAAAATAGCAAGACCTGAAGTATACAGCCATTGTTAGATCCCCTAGCATCAAGAGCAAAGGAGCAATAATTAAACTTGAGGTACAGCAGTATTAGGAAAGACTGACTCCAAATTTCTAACTTGCACTCTGGTTGTTATGTAGCTTGGAGCCAAGTGACTCAGTGTGTTCCAGCAGATGGGGGTGATAATGGTTATCTCTCCAGTTCCTGGAATGATAAAGACTTACTAACTCCTGTATGTCTGTGAACTCAGAGATCAGCCGAAATGTCATATAAAAGGCAGAGGATCAGGATTAGAACAAAGGCTTTGAAGACTGGCCAGTAAACCCTGCCAGTTGTTCTGTGGATCTTTTTCAGTGCAAGAAAGTCTGTTGCTATTAAGTGCTTGTGTGTGAGTAGCAGTTAGAAAACATCCATCTCGGGAAATAAAGCTATGGGGCATCTGGAACATTTGGCTTGCTGGTAGTTTCCCTGCTTTCATTTATTCTTACTAGGTTACTGGGAGCTAAAGCAGTTACACCCATAACTCTTGTGCTTTTAAACCCATGGGAACCATTTTTACAATGGAAAGTCTTTTGAATAACACATAACTTCTGATGTGTGCCTGGAAATGAGAAAGTGTGTATGACTTCCAGGTTTGGTTATAGCAGTAAAATTATATAATTTTCTTTTTATTAAGAAAACCCATAAACTAGTTTACGTATAATTGAAGTAGCTGAGAAAGAAAACCCTCCACCTGGTATATAATGAAACAATTGCCATTTGCTTAGCTACACAAATAATACCAATTGCATTCAAATTTTTTATTTTTAAATCTTCTTATTTAAAAAATATTTCTATGAAAGTCTTTAGAAATTCTGGTTGTGAGAGGATTCATTTGATACAGCAAACGGCTTTAAAATATTAACAAAAGCATTCATAATGCTCTGATCATGTTGGAAAAATGCTTTTGATTTGGCTGCTGTATCTTTCACAACAATCTAGGGTTACTATAACACTACCCAACTCAAAGCTACCATAAATCACATCCTTTGATTTAGTGTAACTCAAGAAGAATGTTATGTTGCTAAACTCAAGAGCAGTAGATTTTCAAATTGACCTGATCTATCTACATGTGTTCCCTGTTTCACTGTCGGAGAAGTATGAGTTACATAAATACAAAGAGAACTGCCTTTTAACCCCTTGAATTCTTGTGAGCTCACAGCAGCCATCCTCTGCAGCGTTCCATGCTCCCAACTTCACTCTAACAAATAATCAAGGCATCATGGAAAGCTCTTTCCACAAATGCAAATCTTGTTCAGAACTCCGGTTTCTACTTCTTTCCTCTGTACTTTGGTTTGGAAGGAGTCTTATTGCAGCTCAAAATATCTGTTAGCTGAGTGTTTGTAGCTAGCTTTTGAAACACTGGAGGAAGTTTTTTTTTTCTTCTCTTACATCTCTAGTTCACAGCTTTTCAGGGTCATCTGGAACTATAAGTTTTCTGTGAAAAATAAATTTCTAGCTGCTTAATGGACAACGAAGCTTGATGTGTATTTTCTACGAGCTTAGGGATTAAAACATAAAGGGATGCCAAGTATTTCCCTAAGTGTGATGAATTTCAAGCCAATATTACTTGAAAGTGCTCAGGTGATTTGGAACACTTGAGAAATGTCCAGTGTTGAATTTTTTACATTTTCCTTCCAAGTAGTGGACTGTTCAGATCTTACAAGATTTCCAATTCAAGCAATGAAGTGAATATTACAATGCTAATCAACATGGCAAATAAAAGTTATTCTTTATCTGTTTACTGACTTTGGAGGACTTAAAGCACAATTGAAGCTGGACTTACGTGGTTTGACATCCGAAACTTAATAGGACAGCCTGTTTTTTAATAGGATGGGTAATCATGCTCCTTTTTTGGATCCATGAGAAAAACGTGTCCTGTGTATGCAACTTCTGGTTTATTGTGCTGAAACAGCATACTCGTGGCAAATGTAAATTCTTGGTAAGGCCTAGAATAGAAGAAAATTTTCATTCCTCTCACAAAAGGCCAATTAAATCCCTTTGCATGGAAATGAATCGATATTATTAAGTGGAACAACTGGAAACCGCCCAAAATAGAGTTTATTCTTTTTGCCATGACAAATCATTTATGACATGCTCATCTAGTAATTTTCTAGGGATATTGTGCTTTTATGTGACATTGATTAGTAAAGCTATCTGATTAATATTGTTATTATCTGATTAATAGTGACCTCACTGTTGCTTGAAATCAGCTGAGAACGCATGACAGAGATATTAACTATAACATGCTCCGACTACTAATGGAGGTTGTGTTTTGACCATTTACTTGCTCTATGCAAAACTGGCATGCCCCAAAAGCTTTAGTATACCAGTATTGGTACCTACAGTATTTGATTTGAGGGTGCCTTAGTTTTGCTGCAAGCTAAGTATTGCCATTGGCTTTGAATAGTTCTTATAGGTTATCTTTTTTTCTTAATGTGGAAATGTTTTTCTAGTCATGGGTGTGATTTTTTTATTTGGCACTTAGTCAATTTAGGCTTAAGATATAAGTAAAAATTAACATTTGGAGATCATAGCTGAGACCTGAGTCTCATTTTTTCTGGTGTATGTTCCAATCCCAGTTTCTCATATATAGAAATACAGCAAGGTCATGTATGAAATTGTCAGAAGTGCCTACAGATTATAACTCATTTCTTATAAGAGGCAAGATTTTTCTTTTTTCTTTTGCCTAAATACTTTGCATAAATATTGGGGGAAGAGCTAGCAAAGGAAGATGGATGCCAATGTTTTAATTGTACAGTTGTCCCTTTTCATTGAGATATGACACTTGCAATTTCCTGTTTGCAAACAAAGGTCTAAGTGTTTAAAATAAGTGTCAAACTGATGAATCACTACACAAAATGCTTTAAGCAAGCCTGTGTAGCTACAGTACCGCACATAAGTAAAATGCATGGGACGGCACATACCAGATTTATTAACACTTGTATTTGTGTATGTGTTTTCCCCAGGTGTGCAAGTTCTGCTTTCTTCAACACTTCCATGGTCTGTGATGACAACCACTACAAAGCCTGTGGTAAGACAGTCCTCAGAATTCTTTTCTATACTGTCCGAATGTGTATATTTTACAGAGCCTCCTCACTTAACTAGTTTCATTAATGGCACTTATTTTAGTATCCAGTTATAAATACTTCCAGATACGCATAGAGAGAACTTTTAGTGACTGTGGGCAGAGTCAGTACAGAGCTTCTAATGTAAAACAAAGGGAATTAATTGTTAAAAATACTATCTATATTAGAAAATATTTGTATTTCTATAATAGAAAAAAAATTAACATTTCAGAAGTGTTTCATTGATCTTTGAAGATACAGGCCATCCAAAACTATGTTGTGAACATTTCCTCTTGTTTCCTTTAAAATTAGAAAAAAATCTCACCCCGTAACAAAATTTGTTTTCATCTGTTCAGTAAATGTGTAATGAAAACTGTTAATTTTTCATATGCAGAATACAATTAGCTGTGATCAGCCTACGTGCAATTAGCTGTTGCAGTGTATTTTCTCTTTATTGCTATCTGCAGTGTCAAAGTTCTATTAGTTTTCTTCTTGCTCACAGAGGCTTTCAGGAAACCATAGTAGATAGGACCTGAACTGCTAACAGAAATATTAAATTTTGGCTGTTTATCCTGTCTGTCTGTTTATCTGTGTGTTTTCCTTGTCGCTTGGCTTCTGTAGCCTCCTAGATCATCCTCCCCCACAGCAGTCTGCTATGCTTCAAACTCCCTTTTGGGCTAAAACAATTAACCACCTCCATATAGAATAATTTCTGATGAGTTGTATCTCTCTTGTAGCTCTCTACTAATGCCTATCGTCCCATCATAACAAATCTCACTGAGGAGAGAGGGAACTTCCGCTCCCCTGACACCATGCTGGCCTACCTGGAGAACATGTCCTTCAGCTTGCCCAACAAATCCTTGTCAGAAAGTACTGCTCTGAGCCTAACAGAGGTAAGTGTTTTTCACATCTATGTGTGGAGCCAGAAATTTCTCCAGAACCCTGAAATTTCTCCAGAAGCTGGAATTTCAACTGCAGCTTCAAAAGTTTTTGGCGATTGCAGAAAAAACATGTGAAAAAAGTGGTAGCTATTTTAAGGAGTAGCAGAAGGTGAATTTCAACCAGAGAAAATAGTTCAAATTTCTTGGGGATATTACCGAATGCATTGGGCCTATTTCTACAAGACGCTGTAGTCAGAGTAATGACAGAAGCAAAAAGGAAGCATACATAAGCTGATAGCAAGCTGTTTCAATCTGGCCCTGGTTACCTGCCCAAGTATAATCTTTTAACGTTTTATCTTTTTGATTCACTTTCTTATCACTTATCTTTCTTATCTTTTTTTGAGTCACTTTAACCTTAGAAGGTTAAAATTTACTAATTACTGCTGTCTGCCCAACCTTCCATTGGCATTTATCGCCTCTGTAGTAAGCAGAGGCAAGTCATGCCTCTCCTCTGACTTCTCTTTCACCAAGTCATACACTTCTTTTTCTGGATTTGAAGGGTCAGAGGCATGCATCCTGCTCTGCCAGGTCTGGAAGTGAGAAACTGTGGGAGGGTGCCTGTCTGTGCTGGTGGTGTTCCTAGCTTTTGTGAGTCAATAGCTTTATCTTGCACAGGTTTCCAGTCACAGCCAGGACTCCTGTGAAGACATATTTCAGATCTCCCCTGAAACTGGTTCCTGGGAAGATAAGGTCCCAAGCTTAGCTGAGTTATTTTTGTTTAAACTAGTCCACAAAGTGTGTGCATGGGGAAGGTGTTTTCAGCAGTCTGAGCTGAGGACAAGAGGTCAGTTTTCTGCTAAGGTAAAGTAAGCTTTCTGTAAAAGGATGGGCATCTAATTCCATGATTTCAGCAGGCTAGAAACCTATTATTACAATAATCAGCTCTGGCCTCACTGGTGATTGTTCCTTTAAGCCTGTGGTAACACTACGGTGACAAGGATTATTTACTCAGGCAAACAATATAAATAAATTCTTTTGAAAACTACATGGACAGCAATTGATAGTTTGTGTTAAAAGCTTAGCATTTGCAAACTGTAAAGCTTGGATTTCGTGGATCAGTTAGATATGTTGCAAAAACCCTTCTAAAAAGCTCTAATACATTGTTTCCTTTTGCTCTAAATTGAAAATGGAGCATCATCCTGTCACATATCATACCTGTTTCCCACATCATTTCAGTTGCCATTTTGTTGCTCATTCAAGCTATCTGATTCTGCTTTGTGTGCCATGAAAGTGATTTGCAGACAGAAATGTGGGACATGATTATCTTTAGCAAAGCTATTTTGGGAAGTAAAGACAAGAGAGTTCTGATCATACATGCAGACTCTGTCATTTGTCTGACTGATGGTTAGGCTTTGCATTGTCTGCAGCTAATTCCCTGAGAGACAGACACTGAGCCCACATGCTGCTTTCAGTAAAGTTATCTGTTCTGATTGTCATATGCCTCACAGCATGAGAAGATTTAAGTGATATGCAGTAAACTTTCTGATTACTGACACATATTCATTATGCATTGCTTCTGATAAATGTCATGTGTTTTCTCTAATAATGCTGCTTTGCTCAATAGCTCCCATGCTCCTGCTTTACCCCTTTCCAGTGTCTAACACACCTCTTTTGGAGTAACTCGGGATGCTATGACATGAAAAGAAATACTGAATGCTCTGGGCAGTCTGGGCTGGGTTCTGGGTTTTGGATAACTTCTGTACATGCCAGGTAGAATTCCATACTGAACGTCCGAGAGGGGCTGCATGGTTTGTGCTTCCCGAAAGTAAGCTCACGTAGTAAAGCTCTAGTACTGCTCTATATATTACAGTTTGTAAAATCATGCTCAGAAAACTCTTGCAGCTTTCTTCTCTGTTTCTTAATGGAACTTTTAGATATTTAATTGATGGTTTTAAGGCATTTAAACAGAAGTTTAAGCAGGAGATGTGGGTTTTGTTTGAGTTTTTTTGTTTGGTTGGTGGGTTTTGGGTGTGTTTTTTTTTTTGTGTGCTCTCTTCTCCTCCTGTTTGTCTTCAGCAGCGAGACCTCTTAGGACAGGGACTGTATCATGTTGAGCACTTGAACAGTGCCCACTAAGACAGATCTGGACCTCTAAACCAATTTTAACATGTAAAAGTTAAGCAGATAATAAATTGTACAAGTGATGTGACCCAGATATATACCAAATGCTGTTGATATATCTACTTCTCTAAGGCTGAAAGAGGTATTGATGTCGTATAAATTCAGATAAAATGGAGAATAATCTCACTTCAGTCTTAGTTCCAGTGTTGTCACCTCGGCTGTAGTTTAGTGATTGCAATTTGGGAGTTTCATAGTGGTGTTACTCTGAATAAATAAATTATTACTTTAGAATGTCACTGTACAGAACACAAGAGTGCTGGCAAGTGGAGATGAACCTGTGACTTGAATCAAAATGGGATTATAATCTTAAACCTAAGAAATTCATAGCAGATACCTGCCTTTGATCTTTACCAGGAGATGTAGTTGATAAATAAAGAATCAAATTAATACAGTTTTATTTATTTTTTAGGCATTTTTAAAAGTCATAGAAGACTTTATGTTATTGCCCAACTGGAGTGATGTACAAGAGGTAAGACAAGAGTTCAGCTGCATAATTTCACATGGATAGTAATGAAACTGTTTGCCTGCATTATTAATCTTGTTAAGACTTTTTTAGCAGTCTGACTGACTTACTTTCTCACATGTTACTTTCATATTTTCAGTAAAGAACCACAGACAGAACAATTACATCATTTTCTTTTATAACACGGTTTTGAGGGTTAAAATAAGGGAACTTTAACTGCTTCTGTTTCCACATATTTCAGAATAAATGAAACAATTATATATAATAGAACAGATATTCTTGCTAAAGTGTTTAATAATTCCTTTTTTAGCACTGAACTTAGGTATTTAAAAGTTTATATTTGCTTTATAGACTGATATTTTCAATGCATATGAAATGTGTGGTAGTGCTTGCCTGTGTAGTGAATTGAAGCTTCGAAAGAGATTAAAACTAATATAGGAAAAACTAGCTTGTTTCAGTGTTCTTTCTCTTCTAGTGTGCCTTTTAGAGTGCAGAGAAATAGTTTCAGGAGGATCCCAGGAATTTCCTGAGGGATTTTTTTTTTTCCAGTCTTAAGGGAACACAGACTTCAGACCTCTTTTAAACTGAGAGGGAGAGATTAAAATAAATCAATGTCTCACTGAAGTCTAAAATGCTTTAAGACCAAAAGATAGCTAATTGGCTTAACTTTTTAGCCTAAAATTCTTGGGATGTGGCTTTGTACTGGGGACAATTTATGTGGAAAAGGTTGTAGAGAAAGTCACGTTTGACTTTGGATGGTTGAACGATGGCGCACACTGGAATTCAACATGGCACCTTCATATTTTGTGCTATGAACTGCATTTTTTTTGTTGTAAAGCCTTCTATTTTATTTTCCTACAGACCTTTTACATATTTGGAAGTCTAATTCAAACTATTGACAGTGTGATGGCTCATATGACATGCAATCTGGATGAAAACTCCTTACCTTCAACTCTTGAGGGCACATCATCTGTGGCAGGTAGGATTTAGCAAGAGTGCTTTCTCTGGGCTGTATGGATGTCCTAAATGCTTCTGTGCTTCGTAGCCTGTCCTTTTCCCAACATTAAGGAGGAAATGAAAAAGGATAATTTCCTGTTTTGAATACAAAACAGTGTTTCAGTTGTAGAAATATGACTGTGCAGTTAGTCTACAGGTAATCTGCTCTGACTGTTCTTGAACTTCTTTGAGGTTACTGGGGAGGGGTTTAGCACATAAATTCTATGAAATCAATCTAGTAATACTGTACTAATAGGCAGTTAAAGGACCTAGAGCTCCTATGCAGCATTCCAAAGCTGCAGATATCTGAATGCTAAAAAAAAATCTTAATTTTGAATGTTTCTGCAAGAGATTGCCAATAGTAGGAATAGTTTTGACCTTTTAAGATAGTTTTATTTTACTGCTGTTTAGTGTCCTAGCCCCCTAGTTTCATCAGTGTCTTTGGATGCTACAGGTAGCAAAGTTAATTTATCTGTCCTGGCATTCTGTTCTGACTTGCTGGGACCTGTGTGAGGGGGCAAATAATAAGCACTCACTAGTACCATTAATGTATGGTACGTACTTTCTTGAATACTGGCATTCTCAAATGGAGCAGTGGAGGTCTGAAATAATGTCTTCAAATGTCAGTGGAAGAGTGTGTTATCAATCTGCTTTGCTTGCCCTGGTAAGCTTAGCATTTGAGCATGGGTGAAGTGATCCATGGTATATTAACAATGTGCATACCACCTTCTCTGTCATAAAGGAGCTGGGTATAAAAGGCAATTTTATACCTGGGGAATTTACTCTATTTTTCTGAAAATACCTGGAGTTTTAAATTGAGGCCGCTGTACTAGCTATTAGGGAAATCTAGTTAAATAGTCAAGTAGGTTGTAGAGGCTATGTATTTAATCATATGTTTGTTTGGGCTATCACACAGATTACACCTTGATCAAGACTCATCCTCAGATGCTGAATTTGTCCCACTATCGATTTCCATCTCGAGGACAGAGTTATATTTCCATTCCCAGTGAAGCTTTTCATGAAAAAGGTAAAGGGAGGATTTAGAGGGAGGAGCGGAGTCATGCAAACAGGGTATCCATAAATGATTTTGCTTGAAAGCAGGTTTTTGCATGCTTTATTTTTTTCAAGTTACTAATCAGATTGCTGTTGATCATACTGGCTAGGAAGAAGCAGCAGCTGTCCTGTCATTTGAATGAATGATTGATGTAATAGAATTTTCATATTACTTGAATTAATCTTGAATAATAGAGCTGGGCCACAGATACTGAAGCTGTTTAATTTTGACATCTTTTTGCAGCAGAGAAGCCATAATTTAAAAAAAAACTCCACTTTTTTCATTATCTGAACTGGTTATTTTTCAGAAATTCCAAGGTGTCAACTCAGGTATTACTTACCCCTTCATGCAAAATCACTCTTAAAATGTTGTATGAGATTAAACTATAAAATGACAGGTTTAACCAACAGCAGCTACAGAAGTAGAATAAAGATGTAAAGTACAGTCAAGGCAAAAAGCAGGACTTGGAAATCCATACCTCAGCTAAAATTTAATACTCAAAATAATCTCAAAAGCAAGATATGGCAGAAATTGGAAGCTTTAGTCAACACCCTAAGATAACAATGTTTGAAGTTAATTATCTATGTTTTAATCAGGGATTGAAGGAGCCTATTAAAGAAAAGCATCTACTTGCGTCCTCAAATCTTTGAAAATCTGATTTATATGCCCTAAATTCCAGCCCATGGAATTTACACTGCAGAGACTTTTCTGCAGTTTCCTGTGTTGAAGGGAAGTTGGTCCTTATTCAGAAAGTGCAAAGTTAGCTGCAAATAAGCTGCAGTGAGAAATACTTTAATAACTACTGAACTGCCTACCTGATTTGTGGTGGCAGCCTTGTTTCTTAGCACTGGCAGGGGGCTCTAGCTGGAGACTTCACTGCAGGTGCTTTGAGGCTGCAATAACTATAATGGCAAACCAACTTGTAATGTCAAAAATAGCATGTGAGAGGACTTTTTTTTTCCTTTCCCACTTAAAGTTTCCTTCAGAACATAATTGTGCTTGGTACCCTGAAATGAGCTAGCCCATTAAATTTTAACTCTTTTTCTCAGCTAAAGCTCACTGTGAGTACTTCACCCCTCAGGCCACACTTCTGCACTGTCTGATCTAATGTAAAAATTTATTATTTCACTTTAAATAGTTGACACTATAAACACTTGGAACCCAGCAATAGGGATAGTAAAAGACATCTGTGTGGCTGACACTTAGAAAATACATGTCTGTCTCTTCACTCAGATGCTGGAGAACCCATAAATATTTGGAATGCAGGCAGCAAATAGATGACCAAAGTGGAAACTAGTCACCCATGTTTGAGTTTCATAAACTGCCAGTTAATGTAGGTGGTTGCAAAGTAGCTTTGAGATTGCTGTGGCTACCATTGAGACATACTCTGCTATGTCATGCGACCCTTTCTAGTGCTGTGTGGGAATTAATAATTGACACTGATTAACAACTTATTTTTGAAGTATAGTTGCACAGGGCAGGCATCCTTCTGTTGTGCTTTTGATGTCTCCTGTGCTGTACTGTAAGATATTAATACTTTTTCATTTGAAAGAATCATCAGAAATCTGCTACAGGAAAGACATGAAAATCTATAGGAGTCAAGGTTCTTAACATGGAGTTTCAGGTCTAGGAGAGAATTCTCTTGCTTAAACGGTTGCTCTGAGGAATAACCCCTGTTCCTTTTTCACAGCTTGGATTACCATTGTTGGCCTGCTTTACCACAATATGCATTATTTCTTTCATAATATCAACCCTATGGATACCAAGTAAGTACCTCAGACCCCTCATGCTGTAAGAGCTTATTTCCTTACCGATATACCTTTATAACAGTCATATTATCAACTATAAATTATGAGCCATAAGCCTGATTCTGCAATACTGAGGACATCTAGTCATTAACTAGAGAGAGATTAAAGCTTACATTAGATGTTTTATGTTGTAATAAAATAGATTCACATAGTGACATGTTTGTCTTTCTCTGTCTTCTCCATTTTTCAGATCTGGTATTAGAATTTCATAATTTTAATCTGTCTCATAAAAGGAAATTACATCTTTTCTCCTGACACATGTAAAGATAAAGTACTTAAATGAAACGGGCAAGAAAACATAACAACCCTTTTTAGATAAAATCTGAACACTAATCCTAGAAACCCGTAAGGTAATTTTATAACAAAAAAAATGCCAGGCAATGCTTTAAAGACCTCTTGTTTTAGATGCTGCATCAATGAAATCGTTAGCATATAAGATAAATGCAAAGCTGTATACTTCTCAGCAATGGAGTTTCCCAGGGAATTTTGCAAGGCCATTCATGTAAATCATTACACTTTCAAGTTAGTATGACTTTGTTTTTATTTGATCTTCACTGGGGTGTGTATATTAGTTTACACTTTCTCTCAGTCTTTTCCAGTCTCTTTTTCTGTTGTTTTTATGACAGTAGAAGGAAAGATGCAGCATCTCAGCTGTCACGGATTGCCTTCCTGTCTTTACATTTACTTAACATTGAGTCCTTCTATATATACTTAAACTTTTCAGTTTAACTTTGCAGTACCAAATTCTGTACTCAGATGAACAAATTCAGTTCACATGCTGGTTACTGGGTTTCTGATACTGATGTGTCAGAACTAAGAACTGGTGCTTGGGTTTGTGCTGAACAAGTTCTGTTTTATTTTACCTTGCTGAGGAACTGAATGAAGTTATTTTAATGTTTGACATGACTACCTTATTTTTTCTGAGAGGAAAATAAGAAACCATTGCAAAGTGGTGGCAGATGTAAATAAGGTGGTTTTTAATGCGATTTGCAAACTGATTATTCCCAGTGGTGTGCTATGTTTGAAAACGCATGCTGATGGTTAATTTGCCTTGGCTCATATTTCTCATAGTAAATACCATTCGTTCACATAATCAAAAGGTAGATGACGGTGACCATTTTAATTCTGCAGTTTGTTACTAATAATTTAAAAAATTTTATCCTCCTTAGTTACTCTTAAATGTGCAAAAATACCAAAGTCATAAGTTTAAGCTGAAAGCAGAAATAAAAGGGTCCTTAGGTACTGCAAAATTACTTTAGCCTAGAAAAAAAGCATTACCTGGAAGATTAGTTTATCTGTTTGTGTCGTGACCTGACTTACTCTCTAATGAGCCATATTGGACATAATCGATTTATCAAAGTAAAGCTGTGAAATACTTCTAAATATATTCCTATGTGTATGTTTATATGCTTTATGTATGAGTTTATCTGTCTTAAACGCTAATATGTGTGTTTAATTAGACAGCATGAAACCCCTTCAAGTTTCCTTCTCACTTTGGTTGGTTAGTGTTTTCTTACATCCCTTACTTCATAGAATTCTTCCTAATTATCAAAGGCACTTTCAGCAAGGCTTATAAGTCTTTGCAAAAGAGGAGTAGAATGAAGGAGTACTTACAACTTCAAGTGCCCTAATGTCTAAAGATGTTCCCTATACTTTTTTGGTGTTGTTTCTAGTCCTGTAGCATCTTGTGGTGCCAGATCTTGCTGGAAATTCATTGACTTGAAAGGAAAAAGGAGGTTCTGTGTTAGTGGTGGTGTGGGTGAACTAGAAAAATGTGGTTGTTATACTTCCTTAATATATTTGTTTCTTCCCAAGGATTGCTGAAGCTACTGCCTATAAAGGTTATATGATCTCAGCAGCGAGTTACCTTATCTCTGTCAAAGTGGAACCTCTACCCAAGCTGTCCCACAGTCTGTCAGGATCTCCTCTTATTACCATCCAGCTCACCCACAAATTGGTAAGGCAAATGGTTCCATATTTTTAGTTGCAATTCAGATGGCATTTGTGACTACAGTATTATGTTTTTCCAACCATTGCACTTCAGTGGCTTCAGTTTCCATCACTGCACAAGGCTGATCGGTGCACATGTTGAAAAAGGTGAAGTGACAGGTGTAGCTTTAGGCCTTTCTATATGTATTGTTCTGTGAATGTTTGTGCAGGCTACAGTAGGATGGTATAAATTACTGCTTTCTCATTAGAGCTTCCAAAACCAAGAATTCATTTATGGCTTTTGCTTTCGGTCTTAATCCCCATATTGCTGAGGTGTTTTTGAATATTTTCATGAATAAACCCAGAGAAAGTTCTCCTCCAAGGGCAGACACAAGTATGATGGGCAGAGCATCCCCTGGGATAGGAGTGGAGCAGTTCTAGTGTGAACTACCCTTTCTAGAGAGCAGAGCATTCTGAACCTAAGAAACAAGAGACAAGAAACACAAGAATCTGAAAAAAAATGGAGACAAATTTTATTGAAACTGACCAATTTTGATAAGACATTTCAATTTCACTAAATCAGCATATTCCAGTAAAAAACTGGAAAACTAGCTGATTTTGATTTGCTTTTGAAGAAGAAGGCATTTCTTTGTCTTGACAGAGGAATGGTGAGTAGTTGTGTGCAGCTCTCAGGTGCTGGCATGGGGCATGCAGCATCTGTGACCTACTTACAGCATTGAATGGAAATGGAAAAGAAAGATTTCAATTCTAAAATGTCTCATAGAAAACATCTCTCCTGAATATTTATTATATTTTTCTCTCAGTGGCTGTTCTCAAGCCAGTTTCTCTTCTTCCTGTTAAGCTTCTGATAAAGATGGAGTAGGCAACAGAAAACAAATACATGAAAAAACCCAAAGGCATAGAAATGAAAGGTGTTGTTTTGCTGCCAGTTTTATAAACTAAGGACTCTTGTGAATGTCCCCAGTGGACTCTTAGAGGCGGGCACTTGGAAGGAAAGATTATTTTGCGTAGATCATTTATAAAATGTACTTTGCTTTATTTATTCAGGTACCTCCTCATGCTTTAGTATGATTACTTACTGGTAGGCTGTTAAGCAAACCTGTGTTGTGGTTTTTTTGTGTGTGTTTGTTTTTTTAATGCATGTTGGCTTTCGCTGTGAAGATCACTGAGGTCTTGGTGTACAGGCAGAAATTTTGTATCTAACAGCTGCCTCATACTCTTTTAATCGGTAGAATTGTGGTATGAATATGTCTAATGTATTTTGTTTATGATAGATACAGATTGACTGGTAGTTTCAGACTCTACCTACAGCAGTATGTGCTTTATATTGTGCATTAGAGGGGTGGCTGATTTCTCTTACAGAGCTCTTAACGCTATTTGTCAATGTGTTGATGGGCAGCCATCCATTATCCTCTGTGCTATTTATACAGCTACTTCCATTTTGAGGAATGTTCAGGTCTTACCGTGTTAACCCCTGTTCAGGTGTGACTTGGCTTTGGTCAGTGGTGGTTTTTAAATTGTATTTTATGTTTCGAAATCATTTTGGGAAATGGGGAAACTTATTCCATTGTGTTAACAGCACTGGAAAAGTAGCTTAGTGCTGTCTGAAATCAGTCCATAAATACATTTGTATTTGAAGTTCTGAGAGTTTTAACTATAAGGGGGAAGTATTTCTAAATGTAGTGAGCATGATCTTAAACTTTGTTCAATAAACTGTATGGAGATAACAGCTGGGCTAGATTTTGCTCTTAGGCATACAACCCTGAAAGGAGATGGATAAAGCACAGAAGGTAACCCCTCTGAAAGGCAGAGGACTTGTCATTTCCTTACTCCCTCTGGTACTAATCTGCTACTGGCTTTTATATCTTATTAATTGTCAACATCCTGTTACTTGGATGAGAAAGCACAGATCCTTTCTATCTTGCTAGATATTATTTCACTCTCTGAAGTGGATTCATTCAGTTGAGTATGATTGCTCATGAAATTAAAGTAGAATTTAAAATGTAAAAGAAATTCAGGGTTCAAGATCACTGTGTTAAAGCATGTACTCTAAAATGAAGAGTAAGTCAACCTATTTATCTAAGATTATGATCGAATGTAAAGACTAAAGCAAGAGCATAAAATCTGGTTTAGAAACCTGTTTCAGCCATTAAAATATTGCTTGTTTGCTTATGCTAATGAGAGAAACATTTGAAGTGGATACTGATCTCATTCTTATAGATTGTTCCACGTAATGTTCTCAGAGGAAAGTGTAGCAAGAAAAAGTAAAAAAAAAACAGCAAGTCCAAACAAATGGCTTTTCTCTATTAAAATTTAAATTTGCGTCTGACTTTACTCAGTTGATTTGATAAAGTTATAGCTGCTCTGATGGCATCTACTGGATTTTACAAGTATGAAAATGCGAGGAGTGAAAGGAGAATAATGTGGTTTCTTATAGTGGTTGTAGTGATGCGTGGCCCAGCTTAATAACATCTTAATCCTTTTTTTTTCTAGTGTGCATAGGAAAAATGCCAGTCATTAAGTAACAGAAAACAAAAGGGTGTAAAATAAAACATGTCTATTTTAGGAAACGGTCACAAAGAGAATGTCTGTGAACTGAGTATCACCTCTTAAATCAAAACTTCACAGAGCATTTATCATTCCACAGCCTGACTTACTGTTAGTTAAATCTTCCCTTAAGCAAGGATACTCTGGGGTTCTCTGAAATGGTCTGCATTTTTTATATAGCTTTTGGGAGCTTGAGGTGATTAAATTCCTCTTTCTGTATGAAACATGAAGCAATACAAACCAATATTAATACCTAATCAATTAGGGAAGACTGCAGGGAGTATTTATAAATGGCTTGTTAATGCTTCCTTTTGCAGGAATTACCATGGGGCAGTGGGAAGAGTACACAGAAGAGAAGGGTGCCCAGCCTGTGGGACAGGCTGGAGGTCAAACTGGAGCTGGGAATTCTCCTCATGGTTAATGTATACACTGTTGCTTTCATGGGTACAGGCACTAGGGAGAGCAGGCACTCCCCTCCATTGGAGGGGATGTAAAAAGAGGATGGTAGTAATTACAGCCATTAGGCTTTGATGTTCAGGCTTGAAGCTGAGTTCTCGTGGGACTAATTCTTTCTACTGACAGAAGAGGAAGAAAATCTTCTAGTCAAGCTTCTATTAGTGGAAAATGGCTTACTGACTTAAAATAGAAATTCTTGTGTATCAAGATGAAAAAGGCATCCGATTTTTTTTCACAGGATAAATATTTTACTTATTTAATTCTTATAAAGATTCCCTGTGGGTAGGACAGACATGTACATTTTGCTGCTTACAGTGTTATTTTTGTTTTAATTGTTACTATTCTAAAATTTTACTGTGCCACAATACCTGAAACTGGTCTTTCTGTTACTCTTTTTTGTTTTATCTTATGAAAATATTAACAGCTTTAGATGGATTGTTTTGCAAGAAGACTACATCAAGGATTTAAAATAATGTTTTTACATAAGAACATTAAGTGATTGTTTTCTTCTTTCTGCCATTCTGAGGAATGCTTATCTGCTCTCTCTGTCCACAGTGTCCACTATTGTAACACAGTGACAAACCTGGGGATGAAAAGCAATTCTCATTTTCTTTCTCTGTAGATACAAGATAGCTTTCCTTGTGATATTATGGGATCATTGAGGGCCCTTTTGCTTGAGACTTTTTACATATTGAAGAATTACATTCATAGATCTTCTTAGTGACTGTCACTTCCTTCCTGCTGCTTAGAGTACGAGATAAAGACGAGAGAGAACCCGTAGTACTTTGACACTGTAGGCTCAGATCTCTTGTTGTCACTCTTTTAAGCTCTTCTATTAATAATTGTATTTAAAATATGATTAAATATTTTATACTGTTGGTTCAAAGTTAGTCACACTACAGTAAACCTTTACCTGTGCCAAGGATGGGAAGCTTGTTCTGTGTGTGTACAAATTATTTTCTTTCTATACCTTACCTGAAAAACTATGTCAAAGGCTGTGATGCCAGAAAGTTATGTTCTTGACAGCTAGTATTTCCTGTAATTGCAGCATATTCTATGTGAACACACATTTTCCTCTGAACTTACCTGCTCCCTCAGTATACCTTCTGGTTGGGTCAGGTTGTAGTATGTGGTAGTCTATGTTGTTCTATAGACTGGAACACTCTCAGCCCATCAAGGAGGATCAAAACGAAAGCAAGGTACATATTAAGGTGATCAACCATACTAACTGTTGCTCATATTTAGCCAGTGGTATTACAGCTGAAAATGTGACTTCTGCATGAGTGTAAAGGTGTCAAGTTACATTAAAGACATATTTCTTGAATTATTTCTTCACAATAGGTTGTAGTATTCGTTGTAATATAAGCATTTATCGGCAAAAAATTGTGTGAACTAAGCCTTCTAATAGGCAAAAGTTGATACAATAAGTTACAACAGTCAGTTGTTACTCAGGAACATTTTGGTAGAAGACACATTTTTTGTCTGATTTTTAAATTGATGATGCTCTGCTCTTCAGCAACTCTAGCTGATTTCTGTTATCTTTGTTGCCAAAGACAGTAGTTCATCCAACACCTTCAGTGTGTGTGGGATGATAAGACTGATGATAGTTTGCAGCTGAAGAAAGCTTAATTTCAACCCTTCCAGATGTTTTGGTATGAAGCAACAGTACATTTTGTAAAATTGTTTCTCGCAAGAGGTTTTTCGTAGCAGGAGCAGCTAGAGAAGAACTAACATTTCATTTGTATGAGCCAAGAAATTCCAGCACAGGCAGAAATTCAGAGAAGATGAATGTCAAAGCTGAAATACAAATGCAACATACTCTGGCAAGTGTCAGAAGAGGCAACAGAGGGAGAAATGGTGTAGCCACTGACTGTTACATGCTGTGGGAGGGCCTTGCATGAAGAGTAGATGCAGACTGGAAATTCTTAATGTAGCTGGTTTCCCCAAATACAGTTAAGGCAAGTGCCACTGGAAAGACTTGTTTGATTTGGAGTGGGGGGGGGG